GGAATAGTGGAATAAAGTCGTTATTTATGTTTTTTTCGCACAAAAAGTAGTCTCGTCGCTTGATAAACTTATAATTGAGCCGCTGTAGGCACATGGAATATTTAAACCTTTTCTTTAATGACTTTATGGGCCGTCAAGAGCCAGTCCCTTAGGCAGTCTATGTAGGACTGATCTAGCTCTCAGATTCAATCAAAAATATCTTTATTTGTGTTCCGAAGATGAACGAAGGTCTTACGGGGTTGGTACAGCATGGGGGTGAGTAATTAACGACTTTATTTTCATTTTTGGGTGAACTAACCCTTTAAGAATGACACAAATATGTTAGTTACATAATCTGAAATAAATGAGAGCTAACATTTCAGCATATGAAATAAATTTCCAGAAAAATATTGCGCTTTCTTGTACTTGAATGGTAAAATGGCCCTCCTATGGGTTTTCGTTAACAGCAGTGGCCCCCAGCCAATTTGAGTTTGAGACCCCTGCGTTAAAGGGTACCCTAAAACTTTGGATGTTGACGTATGGTAAAAAGCGTCAGTTAGATGATGTCTTGGGATGAGAATATGTTGTAAGAACATATAAATGAAAGTCAAGGGAGATTATTTAAAAAAAAAAAAATCTTATATTTAAGATAAAAAATTGAGGAATATCAAAACAGTGCTGCCTTTCAAACACTGTTATGGTTTAGTTAAGCAGACAATTCGGTTACACTTTATTTCGATAGTCACTTTAAACATTCTACTAACTATAAGTAACTTTTCAACTACATGTCAACTAAGTGTCATTGGAGTATTAGTAGGCTGTAGTAGACTGTCAGTAGACTGTTAGGTTAGGGTTATATTAGGTGTTAGGGTTCAGGTTAGGAGAACAAGTTGACTTGTAGTTGCAAAGTTACTTACAGTCAGTTGAATGTCTGTTGAGGGACCAACAAAATAAAGTGTTAGCAGATATTAAGCTGACAGTCTACTAATACTCTAATGATAGTTAGTTATAGCGGCAAAGTTACTTATAGTTAGTTGAATGTCTAAAGTGGACTATCAAAATAAAGTGTTACCGACAATTTTTGCCAGACTGCATGGAGAACATAAAAAACGATATCAAGTTAATTTAATAGAGATCTTTGAAAGTGAAATTTACCATTTCAGAATGATGCTAGGCCTACATATCTAGAATTAAACTACAGGAATACAACTTAATTATTTACATTATTAAACTGACAGGTATACTCAATAAAGTACACAGCTATTTCTTATCACATTGAATAATTCATGCAGGTACATCAATTCCAAAAAAGGCCCCAGCGAAATGGACAGGAAGCAGCCCTCATGCCTTGCTGCAGAGCCGATCCTCCCTATACGCACACTACGCAAGTTGCGTAGGGCCCCGCGAATTACTCAAGGCCCCGCCTCCCCCTCATGTCAAAGCGCGTCAATCAAAGTTTACAACATCGAAAAGACAGACTGAGAGAAAAACACCATGTGAGTAAATTGCCGGAACAGAGATGAGGCAGACTTGTGTTGTTGTACTCTCCAAGTTTGATGTCAGCAAAGAACAGCAATGTGCATCTCTCTCTATCTGTCTGTCTAACCAGCCCGATCTCATGAAAGCACCTATTCCACGAATTTAATTTCTCATGCCATTTATACGCCCAAAGTGTAGGCTATATGAAAAAAAAAATGCCATACAAATAGCACGAGAAATTAAATTCTTGTTACAGACGCACTTTCTTGAAATTACGTTTGATAATACAAAGGGCAACGTTGTTTATAAACTGCAGCTCGGAAGAGAACCACATCGCATGTTAACATGAGTTCATATGCGCGTGCATGAAATGATACGCGCACTTTCCAGTAAAACATATATGGGGACCAGTTACCAGTACAATATGGGCATTATGGCAATCCTCATTAGGCTCTCATACTTTTCAAACAAGACAATGATTATCTAGTCTCCAAGTCACCGTGATAACTTATACAACTCTGCAATAAAGCAAGATGGAAAGCAATCTATTTGCATTGACTATGATGCATTTAAAATGTTGATTGGCTGGATATACTGGTCATTATGGATGCACATCCCTCAATAAATAATAACCTTCAAGTAGCCTATCAATTATTGCTTTTATCATTTAAAACACAGTGACATGGAATGGCAAGCCATATTAGGAAGCATTTTTGATATCATTAATTACATTTGCACTATTCAAAATGAAAATTATTGATATTAATATAAACTAAGTCTATTTCTAATTTCAGGAATAACATTTTCATTTGTACTAACTAATGAGGGAGGATTGTAGTGGGAGAACTGGGGTGTCAGGTGTGACTGTGTGGCAATGGCAAATGGTCTACTTGGCTCATGGGACTGAAAGACTCAGCAGGGCAGCATGTCACCATCACAGAATTCAGAAAGAATTTACGAAGCAGTCATTCATGTTCAGTTCTGGTAAAACATGAGAACAAAACCTCTTGTATAGATTCTGAAACTCTTTGAAAGGCTTTCTCATTTTAATTTTCTAATATACTAATAATATTCTCACTAATGTAATACCAATATAGCTATATGCTTTTTAGTCTTGGAGGCTTAACGTATTATGCTGATTACATCTGCATTAATTTCCACTTCTGCTTATCCACAAGTTTCCTACGCCCCATGATGCCTTGCGTCAAAAGTGGGCGCGACTTCCGGTTGGAAGTAAACAAAGCGCGATTTGACATGCTTGACACTTGTTCATTCAACAGTTGACAGTCATTCAAGTTATAGCGATCCAAACTAGCTAACGATGTGGGAACACAACCTCAACGAAATTCAAAAGGGTGAAATAACAGTACCTTTACCCTCCGCAGTAGTTGATTGGGAGTATTATAATAACATTATTAATAATCATTACTCATCAAGGCATGGTGACAGACAGTTGTGCGAGCTGACAAACAATTAAAATAAAAAATACACACTTAATCATTGTGCTTTGGAGTATATTCAAAATTATAAATGAATGTGCTGCTTGAATACATTAACTGGCACATGTGGTATTCTATCAACACAGGCTTAGATCCTGAGTTTAGGTGTAACAGCCAATCACATGCTGATAGAGTTTATAGAATATTAAGAATTTAAACAAATGTACACAGGAAGATTCGTCGTCTTTTGGGAGGTGATGGAAACTACAGTCGTTGGCAGGATCAGAGACGGGCTCTGGTAGGATCACTGTGATTTCGTTTTCAGTTTATGTTCAAAACAATCATGTTTAAGCCACTGAATTAGTTTAGTCCGGTTATACATACAACCGCGAACAGCACATGATGTCCCTGAGCTCCGTAACGACATCTCTCATAAAGATTTGCGTCTTTAAATAGTAAAATAATTCTCCGAAAAACAGCTAGCCTCTTCGCTAACTAACACACAAAATACCATTGGAATGCTACTTCCGCCGCCTCACCGGAAGTTTCACCCACTTTATTTTTCACAGGAGCGCCCCTCGGAAACTTGTGGATAGAATAAAGAACATCGTTATCGTTAATATAACACGCGCTGTGAGGGCTAAGTTTAGGTGTGGGGTAGGGTCTGCGTGTCATATTCATGCTAAAGGATTTATGACGTCTTGGGTTTGCGTGTTATATTAACGATAAAGGGTGCCATGTGCGTAGTATAGCGCCGTTTTTGCATATAGCGTTCTATATGACGTTAAAGGATGAGAACGGGCTGCAACAACATGTCACCTCAAAATGGATGTATGCAAACCTATTGTTTTGTTTTGTTTTTTTATAATTAATCATTAATTCAATGACCACAGTAATTTGTCTTTGTGAATTAACATATGATATATTTATTTTCCTCACAAAACCATCCCCCAAAATTTGCATCTTCTATAAATTCAAACAATAGCTGGTGGAGCAGAACAGATTTGTTGTTTTGTGCCTGTTCGGTGCCCTCGGCATCTTAATGATAAACTTCCATCTTTTCTCTTATAGGCCTGTAAATCTTAAAGCATTTTTTAGTCTATATTTTGAAATGTTATCTGTCAATACAGGCAATCTAATTGTGTATACTCACTTCCCTATGTTTAATATTTCAAATTAATATTTAATTATTTGCTGTCATCTAACACTCAACTTTTTTGTCCATTACAAATATATATTTATTTAGACAAATCAGCTGCATAACATGAATATATGGTATATTCTGTATATTTGTTTTTGTTATATTTTTGGAACTGGTTTCTTTACATTTTTATTTTGAAAAGAATATTCCAAATAAGTATTAATTGTATTACATTTATTTAAGTTTAATAGTTGTACATAGTAATTTTGATTGTATTGATATCAATTAGAGCTGTCCAATGTTTTTCAGGCAGGTGGGCCTAATCTTTCTTTCCCTGCAATAATGATGTTTTTTTTTACACATGATTTAAAATCACCTACTTCAAACTCTGCCTTATTCATGTCCAGTACTTTTTCTTACAATATTAATTTTAACTGTATTTGCATAGACGTTTAAAATCCAAAAGTGTGGTCACTAAAACGCTTGATGAATACACAGCTTGACTTAGTGTTGATGTATTGTTTACCATCTGTTGGCCAAGCATGCTGACAGAAATTAAAGGCACCTGCCCAGTGCCCAACTCTGCCGTTCTCACAGCTAGAAGACAATAAATGACTTGCTTCTAATAATACAACTACAGGTGAGACACGCTCAGCTTGCAGTCACATTAGAGGCAATCACTGATGGTCAAATCAGGTGACTGTTTGGAGGGCAGAAGGGACGGGACTGCAACGAAGTGAAGTGTTCATCTTTATGATTGCTTGCACACTGCATACTTTATTGTAGAGTTCTAATGTTGCTTTATAAATTTGTCGAATACCTGGAGATACCAAAAATGAAAAATCTGTCATCATGTTGTCATACCTGTGACTTTTTTTCTGTGGAACACAAAATATATTTTTAACAACATCTCAACAACATGTTTTTTTTTTTAAGGTGGTAAGAGGGTCCAGTGACCTCCATTATATGGAAAAAAAAAATAAAACAAATCTTTTCTAACTTAGTAAAGGTTAGGAATGATATGAGGGTGAGTAAATTATGGCAGTATTTATCTTTTGGTTGAACTGTCATTTATAATCCATAATGTAAAAATGCCACTTCCATGCTGCCATGGGTTCATTATTATAGAGGACTATTACTTATATAATATAACCAGGAAAAAGTAGCCTATACTGCATGAAATATGGACAAGATACTGGAGGATTCCTCACTCATTGAAATTTTGATGGCTATTTTTCCCCTTCTTCAAGCTAATTTTATAGCAATAAGTTCTAATTTATAAAGCATTTTATACAGCATTTAATTAAGTTTTACAACCGTTCCAAGTTCACGTAATTGAAGTCATCGCAATTCGACTTAATTGAAGTGACTGAAAAGCTCCTCCTCGAGAGCAATAAGGAATTTGTCAAAAACGTCTCTCAGCCTCCGTGTGCCTGCATCAGTCCCTAGAGAGACATGAAGGGTACGGACAGCCTACAGCACCAGGTCAGGTCTCTCAGCAAGTTTCAAAGCCTCGTGCATGCTGGCTGCCGAGAGCTTGCGGTTGATGTTCCGATAGCGGCAGCGAATGAGGTTGTGGTAGGTGGTCCGGAGGTCCCTGTTGAAGAATGCATAAATGAAGGGGTTTATGAGTGAGTTGGCATAGCCTAGCCACAGCAGCGTCCTCTCCACCCACAGAGGCACGCAGCTGCATCGCACCCCACAGATGAACGGACGCGCCGTGGACAGCAGGAAGAAGGGCATCCAGCACACGGCGAAAGCCCCCACGACAATCCCAAGGGTGGCCGCCGCCTTCTGCTCCCTTTTGAAGATGGAGATGTTTTTACGATTACTTTTGAGACGTCGAGAAAAGCTCACGCACTCTTTCACCTCCCTCTGCAGCTTTAGGGCCGCAGTCACGCAGTTCACGCTTTCCTCGTCTTCCGCTTTGGGAAAGCCAGCGATCGTGTGCTTGGCGGCACTCACCTTCGCCACCCTGTATATCCGGTAATACATAATGAGCATCACGGACATGGGGATGTAGAAAGCCACGGCAGTGGAGTATATAGTGTAGCCCAGGTCCTGGCTGATCAGACACACGTTGTCATCATTGACATTCTGAGCCCATCCAAACAGTGGGGGTAGGGTGATGGAGGCAGAGAGAAGCCATACAGAAAGCACTATTTTGGCCATGCACTTTCCACTCTGTCTCATAGGATACGTCAATGGCTTAGTAATGCCCAGGTATCTGAGAAAATGGAGTGGAGAATGGGAAAAATGAAAGAAGGCAGAAAAAAAGTGCATCAGTCAAAGACTGCATAAAGGTGGGCAATTTCACAGTGACATTCTTTGCCCTTCTTTGGAATAAATCGAAGCTTAAAATAACTTCTTGAAAAGAGACCCCTGCTGTCAAAAGGGCTAAATAAGGTTTTGAGTGTTTTTGATATGGACATGGTGGTTTTCAACATATAGTTGAACCTAGACATAAAAACCACAAAACCACATAAAACCACAGTGACATGCATGCATTCAATATTTAAATCTACACTGTAAACGATTTCTGTTGTTTTCACAGGATTATACTGTTTTTGTCAACAGTTTCTTACTGTATAATCTATGTACAGTAAGTTACAGTAGATTTAGTTGTTTTTACAGTATTATTTTGTTTTTTCAACAGTTATGTACTGTGCACACAGTTGACAGTATGTTATTTAAATCTATAAAAAGTGGTAGCAATACCTTAAAAAACTATTTCTACCTGATTTAAAATTGTTAGTAGGCTATTTATTTAATATTTTAAATAAAGGTATAAAACCTGCTAATTTAGTATATACTTTTTCAGTGTATTGTAATTTATTATTTCTTCTATCTCTTTCTCTTTACAGTTTGGCTGATTTCATGAATTGTGTTTCATAATTCATCCAAGTGGATGCTGCACACCCTTATATGATTGTAAAGCGCTTTGGGTTTTGCAGAAGTAGGCTACATATAAAATCCCTATATAAATTCCTCATTCATTCATAATTATTTATCTGAAAAGCCTATGCTGTTTAATGACAGGTCTAACTGTGACAATATGCCCGCTGCAGGTACGCTAAATATGGTGCGTGTTTTTTTTTTTCCTTTTGGTCAAATAATGTTGAAAATGTTTGGTGGCTTATTTGAAGGCTAGGCAAGTCTTAAGGTGTGTATCTATAAAGAAACTGACTTAACAACTTAAAAGTATGACAAAAAAATAAACCCACCCTGAAATTTTCACTTAAATAAAAAGTGTGACTTGACGGTCTCTCAACATACTGTAGCTAAATATACAGACTGAATAAAACATTTAATCTGAACTAATCTAACATGTACTTGGTTAGCTTTCTATCAAACAGCACGTATATCTGGGAGACCTACCTGTCTATGCTAATGACACACAGTGTCATTATTGAAGCGGTGCAGCACATCACGTCCATGGCGATAAAAACATTACAGAAAACACGACCAAAAATCCACTGTCCTCCGATGAGGTCAGTGATGCTGACAAACGGCATGACGACCACCGCCACCGAAAGGTCTGCAACGGCCAGAGAAACGATTAAATAATTAGAAGGTTGCTTTAGTTTCTTCACGAAACACACTGAAATGACCACCAGAAGATTCCCGCAAACTGTTAAAAGGGTAAGCAAGGTCAGAACTCCTCCGACGAGCACTTTCTCAACATGTCCGTAATTCAAAATCGGCTGTCCGCATCTGGTCTCGTTGTCCATAAAACTTAGCGTCGGCAAAGTTGTAGTGGTGTCCATCACTTCAGATGTCAGACTGGTCATGAGTGCTTGCACGCGATCCTTCGTCACCGCGGAGATCATGTTGACTGTCGAGAGCTGTCCTTGGTTCTGAAACGATGTTGCTCTCATTATCCATAAGATATCAGAGTCCAAGTTAAATACATTATGTGTAACTAAGCACACACCTATACTACACTGGTTTTTCTGGCTCTATCTGAAATAATAGAAGAACATCCCAACACGCTGAGAGTCACACAAACTGTCAAGTTAACACTCACAGAATGAACCGCGCGCTCTTCGCGGCTTTTATTTTATGGCGTCTTGACAGTGCGTAATGACGTGAGGTGCTTATAGCCTAAGCGTAAATCTTTAAAAAGTGCTAAAGTGTTTTTTTTTTGTTTTTGTTTTTGCAAATGTGCAGTGTTGCGACTCTGACTGTAGCAATTGGATGTCATGAGACAAGACAAACAGGAAAATATTATCTGTTTTTTTTTTTTTTTTTTTTTTTTTTTTTTTTAAGAGTTGCCTTTTTAAAAGAATTCGGTGCTAATGTAAAGAAAAAGTAATATTGCAAATAATACTTTCTTTAAGAAAGACTTTTCTGAAAGACTTTGCTTTAAGAAAGACTTTTCTCTACCATATCATGGCCTTACATAGAATTATGATTACCAATTGTGTGATCATATATTTATACTTTTATAAAATGCAAACCACTCAAATTGAACAAGTTAACTTGCTACCTTAAATAAAATCAAAGTGGTACCACTACCACAGTTACAAAGTGCTTTCATTGCACTTATCACTTTCAAGTTTAAATCCATTGAAAAAGTTGAGAGAATCTATTGTGGTTATAATAAGATGTTTTCATTTTTTATGAAATACTATGTTTTCCAGGAGCAGTGTATACAAGTGACCATACTTAATATATATTTTTACAGTTTCCTCTTATTTCCTCATGTGAATAACTTTTACAGATGTCCTCTTTAGGTTGATTCCCCTTAAAGGGATTGTTCGTTCAAAAATGAAGAAGATATTTGAACAATGCTGGTAACCAGACAGTTGGCAACTTTCAACTTTCTGGTTATAACATTTTTCAAAATATCTTCTTTTTTGTTCAACAGAAGAAAAAAACTCATAGGCCTACAGGTTTGGAACAGCATGAGGGTGAGTAAATGATTTCAGTCTTGGGTGAACTATCGGCAGTAGTTTGAATGGCAAAACAAACTGTTTAATAATGTAAAAACAGTGAACAATGTTCACACAGTTGTTCAATAAAATATTATCTTAGATTTAAGAAGTAGCATGGTAAATTGGTGAATGAAACTTTGAGAAATAAGGAGAACATTATTGAAACTTGTAAACTGCAGTGTATAGCTTTGAATATGGTATTAATTTCAAATAATCATTTAGAACTGCAGAGAAAGCTGAAGTATTTGTGAAAAAAGCTTCTAAAATTGGATGAACACTGATGCACAGGAACAGTGTTTGGGTTCCAGTCATCATTAACTGAGGTAGAATATGATTATGTCTTCTGCCTCTACAGATTGACCCCAGCGCACACAACGAGGGACAATTGCATTCAGAAAACCCCTGCAGGAGAGAAATAAAGAGGTGAGGCCATGTATTATTCAAGAGAAAAATGGACAGCAAGGACAGGTAAGAAAAAGAAATGGATGATAGGTTAAGAGGCAGTACAAATAGGAGGATCAAGAAGAGTGACGGGGAGACATCAGGGACAGTGTAAATTAAGGCTATGTAAGTGGGCATTGTAGATTCATAATTGATGTATGTCAAACTGAAAAATTATTAGCAGATTATTTAATATTGTGATCATTTACACTCTAAAAAGGTGGTTCTTTAATGTTTGTTCACCACTTCATCCCAAATCTTTTTTTATGCTGCATCTTTATGACAGCCTTTTTTTGTTAACAAAACTGTAACATTTATAACTGTCAAAGAATCCTTTCAAACCCACCTCATTATTGATTTTCTATAGCTCAACCATCAAACTAAGACACTCAACAGCTACTTGATATGCTTAAAATGTCAATACATTATTTTGTCTTTTCAGTTTTTTAACAGAATATATGTGACCAGGACTTACCAGCTTAGTTGAGGATACTTCCTCTTCTCCACTAAGCAATGAAGATACTGAATTTATTATCCATATTGTTAGAGTTTTAATCATTACTTAGGTTTATTCATAAACATGCAGTCACACAAAAAATAATCTTATGACTTTTAACATTGTAAAGGTTTCACATACTATCCATTCACAGTGGCTACTTTTGGCCATGATGAATTGTTTTTACTTGTTTATGTATTTATTAATGTATTTATTATGTATTCAGCTAATGTTGTCAGAGCACTATAATTCACTATAATTTATTAAAATTCTTACCCACATCAATAAAAAATAAAAATAACTAATTGACACAACTGGATTATTTTATGTAAAACAGATAGTAGATAGAGGGTTAAAAAGCATTAAGTTTAAGCATAATATTAATATAATAATACATTTTATTTATAATGCACTTTTCTCACACCCAAAGGCCAATATGACTTAAGTATTTTACTGGTACTGAATGTAGGCTTAAAGATGCCCTATAGCTTAACACCTAAGAGAAGTGGAAGTGAAAAATAAGAAACAGTAATTTGTGAGGAGAGCACCTCGATATTGCAAGAATTCAGTGTCTTAGTTAGCGAAGCATTAAAGAACTATATCAACTGTTAAACAACAGATTGGATATTAAACTAATGTAAGATTTGTCTAATTTTAAATAAACACAAAAAATAGAGATGAAAAATTAACTTAAGTAAGAAATGTACTTTTACTATGGTTAAACAAATGTTCAGTGATATCTTACAAAGATTTTGGAATTTTGGCACAATTTTTTTCTCTATATTGAAATGGCAACTAGTAAATACACCAAGTTTTGTCATGCATGCCAGCAAGTGTGGAAGTATTTAAAACAAGTGTGTTACAACTAGCCCCGCTTTACGTTGTGCCCCGCGTTCCCCTATATTATACGGAGCCATTTCTAGTTGAATTTATTGAAATTAGTTTATCCCTCCAAAAGGCATTCATATGCATGATAAATGTTCGGGTTGGGAGATGTATAGGAGAAAGGCAGCTTCAGATAAAAACTGATAAAAACTGATTCTAGGGAGTGCGATTATTTCCAAACCAAAAGTATAATACTGACAATGATTCCTGAAATTATACAGCAGAATAAATGTAACAATAATAGTCAAAGTTAGGTTTGAAGCAGCTGTGGACCCCTTTTTCTTGCCACCCCACAACATTCATCTTCAAAACATTTAGCATCTGCACAAGTTCTGCACAAGGTCAGGTCACTGGATTGGAAACCATATTGCTACAAAACCTTTCTACGCCACATTTGTAAAATATGTGTGCCAAGAACACGATAAAGATGAATACAAATGAAAATAGAGAGAAACAAGAAGAACAAGAAGAAGAGATTACAACACATTATTAATTATACAAAATTAATAGCATTGTAGAAAACCTTAGATTGCTTTAAAGTATTTGTCACCCCTACCTGATCTGCTGAAAAATTTACAGAGACCACGGTTCATGGTAATTCTCAATCAGCACTGTAAAAAAATATTTTCAAGATTTGTTATCACAACATTTTTTCTTTTGTCAAATCAACTATTATAATAATAAAATATCATATTATTATATCGTAATAATTATATCAATAATAAAATAATTTATTTAGTTCAGATAACATATTATTTTGAGTTTTTGATGATTAAATCAATCTCCTTCATTGTATTAACTCACTTTTTCCATTTGAATCAACTTAAAATTTAAAGGCAACCAGGTTACTTTTTTTTAAGTTAAACCAACAATATTTTTTTACAGTGAATTATTGATTTAAGTTAATGATCCTTGTTGTGTAAAATTCTGAGTCCAGAAGGTGTGACATCCTTTTTTGTTTTCTTCTTACCCTCCCCCCCACACACACACACACCTAGTTTCCACCACAGAGTAAAAACTACAAAAGATAATTGACAAAAGTCAAATAAAGTAAATATTTAAAAAAATATTCATTTTTAAAAATTCAATTATGAGAAAAAAAAATGTTTTAATATTTCAGCCTATTCATCTGTAAAGCATCCAGAAATTACCCCGAAAGAATGAGCAGTTTCAAAAAGGTGACACCTTGTGGTGAAGAAAAATGAACTCCTTGGAGCATATGATCTTGATTTTCCATTTTCCCTGTGCCATTTTAAATGTAGTTTTTTTTTTAGTATTTTTTATTTTGTTTTAATCATACAATATGCCAGCAATGATGACATCAACAATGTTAAGCTTGAAATAATGTCATATCTTAATTTTTTAACTTAATTCTTCATGTACGGGATCTTGAGAACGTGGTTTGGCATAAGATGTTAATACATATGGCATAATTGGACAGTTCTGAAGTACAGTTTAATGATGTCTAAGATGTTACAGGTCTTTTTTTATTCACTTAGGTGTACTCTTCACACTTATAACACAAATCATACTTTCAAAACCTGATCTCATTCTTTTATTATAGTTAGTCTATACATATTTTCAGTCCACATAATCATTGTTGCAAAACACAAGATTCTTGTAATATGTAATGAGAACAATTGGTTTAATCACCGAAACACAACAGTATGATCTTTGAAATTAGTAATTTCAAGAAAATCAGTTCATTCAATTCTTAGAAGAAAGGGTTCTATATAGAACCTTAAAAAGTTCTATCAGCACTACATATTTGGAACCCCTAAAAGGTTCTATACAGAAGCCTTTTTAAGGGTTCAATAATAAGAACCCTTTAGGGTTCTTTGTAACCAGGAAAAAGCTTCAAAGGAACCTTTTGGGTTCATTCATTATCTTTTGTTTCGTCCTTTCTGTATTAAATATTTCATATTGTTGACAAACATCAAGCCCTAAAATGTTTTTTTTTTTTAATTATTATTTATGAATGCACGTGAATGATCACACAATTCAAAATATGGGGGTTAGAAAATGTATATACAGTATTTATACATTTTTATGCAGTTAATCAATATCACAC